ATTACTATACTAACTTTTTTAAACGGACGAGAATTAGATCTTATTTTTGGCTATGGAGTCCTACAGCTCTAATGAAATCTTCTATATGGTTTTTTTTTTACTTATTATGGTTGGTTTTCGTTTTTTTTTAAAAAGTACTCTAAACTGTATAAATCATGTAAAATTAAATTGAATTTATTAGCCTATGAACCAAATATATCTTTAAATTGGTGTCAATCGTGTAATGCTAAAAGATTTCATCAACAATTTCCAAATTGGACCAGTGGTGATCAGAATATTGATAAGTTTATCCATGATGCGCAACTTTCTGCTGCTATGAGTGAGCACTTGGGAGTTTGAGAATGGATTCCATACGATCGATTGGAAAAAATCACGTACCTTTCTAAAGGAGGTTTCAGTACTATATACAAGGCTATTTGGATTGACGGAATCATTTCTGAATGGAATCATGAATATAATGATTGGAGTCGGATACAATGTGAAATTTTTGATGATTGGACTTATCATTTTGATGGTAAAAATAAAATATTAATGAAAGGTAGAATAGTTACACTAAAGAGTCTTCAAAATTCGTCAAATGTAAATGAATGTTTTTTAAACGAAGTGAGCACATTTTTTATATAAAATAATTAAATGTATTATATAAGCTTAATATTTATTTTATCGTGTTTTCACATTACTTTTATAGTGGAAACGTCATTTACAATCACTTAAATCTGCAAGGAAAATTGCTATTTCCATTAGTTGGAATTACTAAAGACCCAAAAACTTCTTAATATATGATTGTAATGAAATATGTTCGAGGCGGAAGTCTTAGAGAAAATTTGTAAATGGGAATGGAAAAGAAGATTGAAAATCCAGCATCATATTATATCTGGGCTTATTGGAATTCATCAATCAGACTTAGTTCATAAAGATTTACATAGTGGAAATATACTGATCCAGAACATAGTGTGTATAAGAATACTTCATTGATCACTGACCTTGGATTATCAGCTCCAGTGAACAGCTATGTATCGAATAGAAAAGAATTATATGGCGTACTTCCTTATATGGCACCTGAAGTATTAAGAGGCAATCCCTATACTAAAGCAGCAGATATTTACAGTTTTGGGATGTTGATGTGGAAAATTACATCCGAAGAGCCACCATTTAATTAGAGATGCATAGCATTGTGGTATATAATCATTCTACCACCAGTCACACAATACGAAACCTTAAATGGATGTCATGTGGAACATCATGGAAAGGTGTTGGAATTCGGACTTGAATCAACGACCAACAGCTAATGAATTAGGAGATATTATTATTAATTGGTCGACTTCTCATATGGAACAATTTCAAAATGCTGTCATAATGTTTTGGAAGACTCAATTAATTTCTAAGCCTAGAAAAATGGATCATCCAAAAGCATATTATACTAGTCGACTACTCAATCCTTTTGCGTTAAATAATCTTCGTGAATATGAAAGACGTAAAACTACTGAAATTAATGTAAATTGTGATGAAACCTTTATTAGTGAAAATATGGGTATTTAATATATATTTCACTTTAATTGCTTTTAGTTTATTAATAAATAAATAAATTTACTTTTGTTATTTTAGAATCATTGGCTCTAACAAGTAATGAAGTTCGTATGTTAAAAGAATATGACCTAGAGCCGCGAGATGACGGCTACTGAAAATCTAATGCTGACTTTCGCAAAAAAATTTTTCCTTAAGCTAAGCAAATTGTCTTAAAGTTTAGCGTTATACGGCGGTCTTGTAAAATTACCATAACAATAATTATTAAGAGCAGATAGGTTGTTACCAGCTATGTATTAATTAATAATCAAACAACAAATAATAAATGTAGGGGATGATGCTGAAATCGGATGATGCCGAAATTTTAACTTATCATGAAATTTTAGGTGTTTTGTTCGGTTTTTTTTTCATAGGCTAGAATTTAAGGTTAGTGTTTATAATAAAAGAGTATAGGTGAATTTTAGTAGGGTTTATATTTTCAAATTAAGGTCCTGATTTCAGCACCCCGACATTTATTAAAGCCTATCACTAGCAGAAAGCGTTTCCTTTTCTCTCATTCCGTTTTAGTGAAAGATGTTTCGTTTACTCCAAGCTTCTTATATTATCATCAATTTTCAGGCTTGTATAAGATTTGATTCAATATTTTTAAGCCATTTCTTTTGTCGTGAGAAGGCTATAGGCTTTTTTAGCAAGGATAAGTAAATAAAATAAATATAAAAACAAGAAAACATCTAAAAATACCCTTAGGGTATGGTACCAGTAAAAACTATATATTAGATTAAAGGTGTATTTATACGTATGTAAAATTGGGTGCTGAACATTTTTGCTTAAGATATATACATCGGACTTCCTAATAAAATTTTTGGGAAACAATTACTGATATGGATATTAATAAGTTGTAAATTTTACTGCAAAAAGAATTTTCGTGTTCAGTCACAGTGATTCTAATTACATTTGATATTGAGTTCTTTATTTTCCTTCTAACTCACTATGACAGTTGCATCTTGATAGACTATATTTCAAAACTTCTGGTTCTCTACTGTATATCCGACATTTAAACGACCCAAGTATGTATTTATTATTTTTGCAATACTGGCGACCCCTTTAATAAAATAAATTATTAATCAACTGATTGCAAAGTAGGGTCATCTCTAAGATATCCGAAAGTTTAAAGATCTATTTTTATAAATATATGGGGTGAGTCAGTAGAAACGCACCACATCATTTTTAATGGATTTTTAAACAAAAATAACTTAGCAAAAACTTAATCAAATTTAATAAATTTTTTTTTAAATGAATTCTATAAGTTTTTAGGATTGTTTTAAAAAATTTTTATTAAATTTGATAAAATCGTTGTTGAGTTATCTTTGCTTAAAGTTTTAAAGAATTTACTTGGAAAAAATTTGGTGCGTTTCTACAGACTCACCCCCACATATGGGAAGTTCACCTAGATTTTAATAAACCTCGTGATCATACTACGTCCCTGGTTTAAGCGCGACTATGTCGCGCGGATGTTTTTTCATTAAAGATAAACTCTGTCACGAATGATCATATAAAACAAAAGAAATTACATGAATTCGATTTACCGAAACTTATCGTTATGAAAATTACGTTAATTTACAATCTTAATTGTAAATTACTTCATTTTTTAAGTAAGTCATCAATCGATTAAAGAATTAAAACTTGAAACTTAATTATTTATTGTCACGGATCATAATTAAATCGGATTAAAATGAAATTGGGGAGTTACTGTTTTAACCTAACTCATATTTATTTACTATAAATTCTACCCCTAAAGCTGATCCTAACGCTAACCCTAAAAAAAAGCTAAAGAAATGCACACCAAATTTTATATGTTTCGGTGGCCTATTTTATACCATATGAAATTTCATTTTAACCTGTCCGAACAGGTCGCAATTCAAGATACCTACAAAACTGGATAACCTACCATCCTTGCCCTCTTCAATATGACTGCCGTCCCAGCAGACCAATTACCCAAACAATGCTTAATTCACGGGAAGAGTGGGTGGGGTCGATGTAACCAGAGGTTCGCAGAAAAGACAAAATTATCTTACCGCATATCGATATTTCTCCAAACCTTAATATAATTACTCAATTATTTTAGGAACCGTCGATGTTACACGACTGATCCTTCTCCCGGTGTGCAGCATATAAAAAAATTTTATTTTACAATATCAGATCATTCCGCTAGCATATGTTATGATTATAATCCCTCACCATTTTATTATAATAAAAATGGCGTGGGATCATAGGCAGAAGTTTGTCCGATTGGCTAATAAATTCAATTTAATTTTACATTATTTATACAGTTTAGAGTACTTTT